TTTTTCACAAAATTATTACGATACAATTTATGTTACAATGAATCATTTAAACATCTTTATCAATGTACACGTATAAAATTGCAAAATGTTTCTAAAAATTAGAGTAACAATTACGTTTGCGTCATTTTAAAAATATAGATTTTTATACTATGCGTTTTAATTGATTTCGTTTTGTTAATAGACAAGGTTTCTTTAATTTCAAGCTTAGTTTTAATAATATTTCAATGTACAGAAGTGTTGCAAGTTTGATACTTTTGCTTTCGTATTTAATAAAACATCGATTGTAAATAAAAATTTGTCCATAGAAAAAGGGATCGTTTCATATGTATTATAAATTGTATTGCAAAGCAATTTTGTTGTTACGATGAGATTTCATTTTTGAAAAGAAATTTTCAAAATTTGCCATACACGCGTGTTCTATTTCAATTTAACGAATCTTTAAATATATTACTTCAGTTTGAGTTTTTAGAGTGTAATTCAGTGTACATATACTTGCATATAAATTCATGTGCATACTATTGACCAGTATTATAGTTTCGCTGAAATCATGAAAATAAAGATATGTTTGTTAAGTAAGAGATGAAGTCTAAGAGTTTCTCCAGGTACGTCTAAAACTATTAACGTAAAATAAAGAAACTATAGTAAAATTTGTTGATACATTTTTCATTAAATGCTACATCATTTGTACATATTTAACATACAATTAAAGTATTTAAACTTCACTAGTAAAACTTATTACCGATATATCGAGTAGTCGACTTTCTCGGATAAATATTACGTTTCTTAAAATTATAAGTAATTGCATGACAGAATCTACTGTCACCGTCTCAACTGTAATACCCAAACGATTCTCCCTTTCCGTGCTTGATAACGGTGATCATCGTTTCAGGACGAACCGTCGAAGTTTCGTCGCGATTGCTTTGGCGGCGGTTAAATAGGTATCGGAAGTATAGGAGTTTGGTAATGGGTAACTGGAACGAGCAAATAGCACATACGTATCATCTTTTGAGTCTGCGGTATTAGTTTCGGGTTGTTATCGCCATGCTTTCTTCCGTTGCTACTTTCTCAGGTAAATACATCGTGGCTCGTAATAGAAATCGGACGTCGCGAAACGGAAAAAGGGAATTCTGACGATAGTTCTGCACTTGTTTGCCATATTTGTGACAGAAGTTTGTCGTTGATAGCACTCATTACGTTTTTGTAGTCATTCACCGTGCGGCCATGAAATTATGATATTTTTAACCAGCTTATGATTTCCGATTCGATAACGGCTAGAGTGGTACTTAAAGTAATACACGTCTGTAAAATTTTATAGATTTAGAAGAAAACAGCACAAAGGTTAATTGCGAAGCTTTGAATAAAATATTGGTACATCGCTTTTTTATGATATACATGGTTGTTTGAATTAACTTTAGTCTCGAGAACAGTATGCTTAAATAATATGTTGCTTACAATTAGAAAACTGAACAGAATTCACACTCGTTAACTAAATTATTGTCTACAAAGAAAAGCAATAGAAATTACATTACTAGCACGAATTAAGTAGTATTAATTAATTAATATACTATTGTCAATTTGCATATGAGGTTTATTCTTGAATCCTTGAAATTATTAAATATGCGGAAGATGATTTCTAATGAATAGAATTATTACAACATACTATTCATAATTATGAAATTATATAAAAGTACCACTCAGCAAAATTTGATTAATTTTTTGACACAAGAATAAACTCTCACAGCTTACAAAGCTATACTTGTGGTTATCAACGTACTTTAGATGCAATTAAATCCGTCTTAAAATAAATTCCTTTTGCCACTTCATTGGATAACGTTATCTAATAGTTCCTGAAATAATCTGACCATATGCAAAATACTAGATAAAATTGCTAAGGTATTAAATCATTTAAAAAAAAACATTTCTTGGATAAATAAAAATGTTGTTAAACCGTTTACTAAATATTTATATTAAATATATTTTATCTGCGTGTATGAATAGGAATTCAAAACGAATATACAAATTTGATAGTTATGGACAATGTATTTAGCAAACTAATGATTAATAACCAATATATTCTACATTGCAAATAACATAATCGTCATATAAATAACTCATTTGTATTTTTCAATAGGTAAAATTTCCAGTGTCAGATTGCAAAAATTCAAAACATTAACTGTATTGTCTCGGCTGCATCGATTCGCGGTACGCAGCGCGGTTTATTAGACCCGAGATTTTTGAAATTATTGATTATTGATCGTGAAACGTCAAAGTATATAAAATATATCGTTCCCACTTGTGTAACGATTAATTCTCGCGCGTCCAGATAAGATTACCGGCGGTAAGAAGAACAAATTTGTCTTCTGACTGAAGGGGATACCATTACGATAGACATCCACTGAAAGGTGAATCCAATTAATTAAGGAAAGTACCGCAATTAATTGGCGCAGACTATAGACTATGGTAGGTTTGTCAGAGAGCAGTCTCAGATTAAGTCCTCTCTGCTTTTTCTGCTTTTACTCGTTCCTGAAGGCTGGTAGGAGCCTGCAAGAGGAAAAGAAATATAAGAGAAAAACAAAGGAGTAAAAGAGAGGCGCTCTAAAGAGGGAGAAAGAAGGACTTTACGAGGCAGTTCGGGGACATTCTTGATTTCGATGTTGGGAAGGCACCCGACGAAAACCACTTGAATTTAACGAGGCTCCAGCAAATGGGCCACCCTGCAGACTTACCTCCTTCCTTTTCTCTACGCATGACGCTTATACCCACGTTCGTGTGGCCCGCAAACGAAGGTAGAAAAACCCACAATCGTGACATCGTTCCTTTTACCGTCGCTCCTCTATCAATTAACAAACCCCGTTTAGTAACGCTGACGTAGATTAATTATTCCGTGTTACTTTTGACAGTGCCACGCGAAATTAACACGATCGATTGCTGAAAGCAATTTTCTTTCGATATAACGAATGGACGTTCCATTTTTTAAATCAAATTACGCGGAACACGTTTGTAAATCGTCTGTTTTACGATTTTTCATTCGTTTTCGGCACGAACGATTATTTTGTTATACTCTCGAGATGAGTAATCAATAATATTGATTTTAGCTTTAACGTCTAAGATTTCTTCCGAACAAAGTAATAGAACGGAGAAGAGGAAATTATGCAAATACTAGGTTTTAAAAAGAAGAATAAATTCTCTTTCGATAGCTACTTGTGACTGAACTGTTATGCACTCGGTTTATTACTGGAATTCATTAAAAGTCACGTTATGGAGCAAAGCATTGTGGCATGAATCGCAATATCTGGCAAAAAAAGGTTGGCAGATTTATTCATTAGAAGATTTGGATATTATTAAATGAACTATTTAGTAGCAATGCATTTAACAACAGGATATTTTTATTTCAAGTTTATTCAAACATTTAAGAAGTTTGCACTACAATTTCTATTTATTTGAAGTATTCAGAGTTTCCTTCTGAGTAGCGACCGTAGCGAGTTGACTTCTAGGAAGGCGTTTATTTTACATAAATGACAGTATATAATACAATGATATAGAACTTAATTAGTTCCCACAAAAGTCTCACAAAACTAAATTTATTCACTGAAACGATAACTAAAAGCCTAAGATTCATTAAAAATTCTAACAAAGTTTGTTAAATTTGTTAATATTGATAAAGAATCGAGTCAGCTAATGACTGCCAGCCACGGTGAACGCGCCAAAGTTACAATGATGCAACGTCAACGGGATGAAAACGAAATAATCGCCATCTATGTAGCATACAATCAAATCCGCTATCTATAAGTAAAATTGTTCCGTCACTAGCGTGGTATACGCTGTCTACCCGATTCATAAATATTTCATCGTTCCGAATGGAAAGCTCGGAGACCTCGAGTCGTACACCTGTACTCCGGTCCTTTTTTTCGTTATCCGGAACAAAGGATTCCTACTTCTCGGTCGGCAGAATTTCGTAATAGCTGGTGCGAAGAAAAAAAGGAGACACGCCGTTGCACTGAAGACAGCGCAACGTGCAGTTCGGGGTCGAGGCACGACAGGATCCGCTAAGTGGCAAAGTACACACCGGTCAGTCTGTGCCACCTTCATTAGCACCAACTAGCCATGGCGGTAGGCTTAGCCAACCTTTTCTTCCTTTCTGAGTGCCGAACGCTGCCTGGAAGAGGGCCTCGAAGCATCGATGTAGGTACAACTCGCGCCATAAACCTCGACGAGATCTCTTCTCGGAAATATGCCTGCTCGCATACTGAACCACAAAACGGTTTGCCTACTGCGTCCTGTCATTTGTCCCGATAACTGATGTCTCTGGTTAGTGCACGGTTTCCTGAACCACGTCGCCGTTCTTCCGTTAACTTCTCCAACCGATGATTACGTCCCGGCCGTGTATCCGTACAGTTTGATCATTCGTGGAAACATCGGCGACGCGTACAATGCCTTCGGGATAAAACTATTTTCGCGTTTTCGAGTTTGATACGAGGCTGTTTAGTATTTTAGAAGAGTTACAGTGAAATAATAAACGATATTGTATATAGAAATGAATTGTAATCTATTGTTTGCAATAAATTTTGCGTTGAACGTACGAGGATAATGCTTTAGACACGTAATATTTGTAACATTTCTACGTTCTCATAACATTTGCACATAAATTGGGTAATTTAATTTGCAAGAAAATGTTTTGTTCTTTACGACTTAGTTTTTTATTACGTCAAATAAAAATATATAGCGTGTCTTTAAAATTGTATCTATTTTTATTGAATCAGAATTTTGTATAGTTTGTTTTTGTATGGTTAATTCTTTGGGTTGTTTTAAATGTAGGTTTATCGAATTTTGTTACAATAACCTATATAGAAAAATATTGTTTTACATAAATATGGAATTACGAAATATATTGATAAATAAGTAAATATTAATAAGTGTATAAGATAAAATACATTAATGAACAATTGAGAAGATATTTGTTACATTTTTTTAATTGGATTTTTTGTCTCTTTATGTTTCAGAAAAACTTACGACACAATCTGAAGATTTCACTAGGAGATTATACATCTTCGCGGAAAAGAGCCAGCGATACATTTGCTTCAACAAACGGTGGAAACTCGTCGGCCTGGTAATTACATGCCTACCAATTAGTAGACATATTTCATCATCGCATTATATCGAGTAAATTTATATGTCTGACAGAAAATGCAGTGAATTGCACAGTTCAGACGTTCAGATTAATCACTTATGTTATCGCTGATAGTGACGGATAGCTAAAAAAACATCTCGAGTAGGACTATAATTTACAGATGAGATTATTAAAACGTAATAACTCAACTTTTTTCTAGCACAGTCTGACGTGGGTATAAATAAACTAAACTCATAAAATGATAATTATATCATGGGAACTAGAATACATAGTATTAAATAAATGTGGTACAGAAGTTTATTAAATTTGTCGAAAAGTCCAATGACTATAATATTTGCTATTCTAAATGAAACTGTTTTTAAAACAGTAAAACATTTTTTAAATACTACCAATCCGTATTTTTTGCTAATGTTATTGAAAATGATGCATAAGATGATCAAAAAATAAAAATAAAGCTTCATGAAAATGATACGAGTTGCAGTTATAGTTACAAGAATATCCAGTAAAATACGCTTTTCCAAGTAAAAATTCAAATGTTATTATAAAATCATTGAATTCTATCATGTTGTAGCTGGTAACTATTGTTTGAAATATTTTCTATATTTTTTTAGAAGATTCACAATTCTGTGTCTTGAACTGAACACTGTGTATACATGTAATTAAATCTGTTTTTATTCTGTAATTGTTTTCAACTTTTCTTTGAAAAAACTTCATAATACTATTAACGTAACGAAACTGAAAACAGTTCTTAAATATTCAGGATAAAATTAAATGTGGAACGCAGGCAAATTTGAATCTCCATCGAGAACCAAAAATTATTTTACAGCATTTTTCGACAAATTCTCAAGAATAGAAATTGTAAAAGTCATTTAACCGCAAAATGATATAAAAATTCGAAAAAAGCGTCAATAATTGTAAGTAACACAATCGCAATTATTGCTTTTATAATTGTAAATCTTCATAACCACAGAAGCGCTTAAAGTATTCGATTTTCGATTTAGGATAAAATTCTCCAATCATTATCATTGTTCTTCGAAATCCCTTCGTCTTAAATCGCTCGAGTCGTATGCCACAACTAAGAAGCGCTTCCTCTCTTTTCCAGCCTAAGAAACAGAAAGGTCCGATGTGCCAGTTCAACGAGCTCTACAACGGTTCGTACTTCAGGTACCGAAGCGTGGTGGACAATTCGCGGTTTTTAGGCTTCAACAAGTTCGGCAAGCCGATGAAGAACCCCCGCGGCCGGCAAGAGTGTTTCAATTTCATCAAGTACAACCCCCATGCTGACATAAATCATCACAACAGTCTGGTGAACGCGGACATGGGTGGGATCGATCCGCGAGATCCGTACTTTGGCTCGAAAAAGCCGTCGCCCGTGATGAGGGCCACGAAGAATTCCCTGTTGCAGGTCGACAGTACGAGGGAGATCATCCATACGACGCATCGTTATCGGCACTCGAATCGCTGGAAGATGCGCCAGGATGAAAAGGTTTCGGCACCTCGAAGACGGCCCGAAAGTCGGCTGTTCGTCGAGGCCAGCAAGTATTGAGCCGCATGTATTGGCTCGCCGATCAAGACTGCCTCCTCCATACCTGTGAGAACCTGAGATCAGACTGCCAAATACGCTGGTAGAACGTACGGTCGAGATGTCAGGGACCCACTAAAGCGGCATCACTTGAAACGCGGCGCGAAGCACGCGCTTCGATTGATCGCAACGATTAAAGCTGGCTCGCCCTTCCGTGTCTCCTGCCGGCTCGTGTACGGCCTTCCGACACACCGACGACTTCGTTCGAGGTAAACAACGAAAATTATTCACGAAACCCGGTGTACGAACCAGCAGGAAGACTACGTTACCGGACACACGGAGCTTTCGTTACGCGTCGTTAGATTCTATTTCACACACACTTGCCCCGACTGAATCCTTTCAGGCAAGTTACGCGCGCTATCATTAATTTCCCTACCCCTTTCGTTCCATCGCTAAATCTTTTTCACGCGATTAGTTGACAGCGTCTGTCATCGATCATTTCCCCTTTCATTTTCACCAATCGTCTCTTTCTCTCCCTCTCTCCTTCCGTCCCTGCCTCCCTCTATCTCTTTCTCTTTCTCTCTCTCTCTCTCTCTCTCTCATCTATACACACACATACACATACTGTCGTTGTCCGTTTAGTTCGAGACCAAGGGAAGTAGACAAGAGTCTCGAGGGTACGCGAATTCGTTAGAAAAAGTCTAGATACCCGACGGTTGTTTAGCGGTGGAGGAAGTGTACCTTGTATGCGATCGGCCTAAATCGTTGCACAATCGGACAGCTTGTGCTTCAACTATTATCTCAAGACCGCGATTGACGCGTGGAGAGACACAACGCGGACGACTTGCGCCGATAGAAATGTTTCCTTCGATTCCAAGGTTTTCGAGTCGAAACGTTTACCCGTGGCCCCCGACGTTCAACGGATCGTCCGAACGAACATGAAAAATCGATGATGAAATTCGGTCGCGTGATAACCTTAATATTCTGATTCACATCGTTTGCGTCGGATTCGCCAAGTACACCATGACAAATCGTGTTCGGGTCCGTTACGTCGAAACGCCGACGGCACGGGACTTGTTTTAAGGAAGGAAGGAAGCGTTTCTAGGGAAGTCGGGCGCTGGAAGAACGAAATTCTCCCGCGTGATGGCGCAGTAGAGCTCGTGCCGTGCGAGATTCTCTCGCTCGCTGTGCTAATTACGCCGCCTAATGTAGCG